CCCCTGCACCTTACTTTGAGTTGAAGCTTGGAGTCAGAGTGCAGGGCCCTGGGTTCAGACCACGTGTTCTCCATCTGTTCCTCACACAGCAGCGAAGTGTGTTCTCTACCTGTGTTGACATAGGCCAGCTCAGAAGGACAAGGACAGGCATAGGTTGTGATGGGTGCAGGTAGGGTGTCTACCCAGCCTGTGAGCACACCCTGAGTTCTCGCTCCTTCCTGTGTCCATCTATTAGTGGACTGCTGTCTGTGTCAACAGAACAGGAGTCCCTAGAACTAACACAGAGCCCGTTATTCCCATGGGTTAGACCCATACAAGAGCATGGCGCTGCACCCAGCGCTGTGTGTGTTGCCATGGTCTCACCAGCAGCCCTGTCAGGAGGTCAGTGTTGTGGTGATTTCAGGAAGAGAACCACAGACATTACCACCTGTTCCCTGGCCCATAGCTGGTCAGTGGCCGGATATGGGTAGGCTTCAAGTTCCTGGGTATCCTGTGTGTCGACCCCAACACCTACTTCTCATTCTCAGTTCTCTTGGCAAACAGGTACTCTGTGTCTCTAAATAGAATCCAAATTGAATAGAATCCGTTTTGAATAGCACCCACATACTGTGGCCATTGATGTGTCATTAATTAGAGCATCGTTGCAGCAGGCCAGGTGGGGCTGATTTAGAGGCTTAGGGGGCGGCGTCCATCTCTTTTCTAAAGAGCCTGTGAAGTAGGTGAACCAGGAATGACCTGTATAACCTCAAAGGAGGAGAGGTTAATATTAATATTCTCAATGCTTTGTGGTTTGCCTGGACATGCTCTTCTCTTACATAGCTGAGTCTTTTGAACTTATATGACTGTTGGAACTTAAATATGTAACAAGCTTTATTGGCCATCCACTGCCCTCACAGAATTCCACGGCTGGGTGGCTTCAGCATCAGAATTTATTTTCTCACAGCTGGAAGTCAGGGAAGCCCCAGGACAGTGTTTGCTGTTCCGCACCTGCTTAGGGCTATTTCCTCTGAGCACAGGCGGAAGAGAACAGAATGGGCTTGCCAGGCACTTGCCGCAAACCAGGAGACCTGAGCTTGACTCCAGGTATCCAGGTAAAGATGTAGGGAGAGAACCAGCTCTACAAAGTTGGCTTCTGACTTCCACATGCACATTGTGGTATGCACACACAGTGGAGGGGAGGGGAAGGGAGGGAGGACAGGAGAGGAGAGAGAACGCTCTGTTATACCTTCTTAAAAAACCACCAGTCTGTCAGGTGAGGGCTCTTAGGGACCCGTTTGGTCTTCTTTCATATTTTTGCTTTTTGAGACAGGGCCTTCTGCGTAGCCAGTGGCCTGGAACAGTGGTCTTCCTACCACAGCTTCAGGCTGAGATCATAGGCATGCAACACCGCGCAGCTAGTGCAATCTTAATTACCTTTAAAGAATTTGCTTCCAAATCCAGTCACACTGGGGTTGGAGCTTTAACATAGGAATTTGGAATTAGGGGACATAATTCAGTCTATAGCAGTTCTGACTTTTTTTTTTTTTTTGCGCCTTGTGTTCAGAAGTCTTACCAAGAAAAAAAAAAGTGACCTCAAAAACTAGATAACAGTTTAATTTAACAAGGCTTATAAAAAAATATACTTTGAGTTCTTAAAATAATGAATACCTGCGTTATCCTTCAGTTAAAAAGGTCCCATGAGCTGTACTTCGCGGCTCATCTGCCTGCTCAGCTCACCATTAGGCTCTGAATGACCAGAGCATACTATTCATACTATTTGCTTTTCCAACACTGTTTGCCGAGCCTCTGAATGACTGTTTACAGACAGTGGTTGTGTTTGGGGAGGAGGGAAGCCAGGCAGTAGAATCTCCGCTTCCAGTTAAAGACAGAGCGTTTGACTGAAGAGGTGAGTGTGTCTTGGAGGGGGTGCATGCCTAATATGAATGTGGAAGGCTACAGTACAGTTCATCCCCAGGCGCCCTAAAGTTTCCAAAGAAGAATCTTGTCATTAATAGCACAACCATGAGAGCCTTTCGTTTTCTTAAATTGAGATGTTGGTGGCAAATGTGAAAGTCGTGGGTACAGTTTCCCCAATGCTTAAGTCCAGAGAACTAGTCTCACTGCTTTGAATATAATTATATTTTAATCCTCATAACAGGATGAAAGTTCCTATGTTTTCCACAACTTACTCTGCTAGAACTCACTCTAGGTAACTTACCCAAGATTGGGTTAGTAGTTCACAGTGAACCAGGAAGTAATGATTAAGATGTTTCTCACAGTGAACCAGGAAGTAATTATTAAGATGTTGGGATGTGTTCAAGTAGTGGAATGTACTCTGGGGGGCGGGGAGGATCAACCTTTGCTGCTTAAAAGTCAGCGCTTAGGAAGTAAATGCTTAAGTTTGTGATAGACATCAGGAAGTTCCCGAAGAGGGCCGTATGTTGTGGGGCCTCTCCACGTGACATCAGTACAGCCCTTATCTGAGATCTACCTGTGAGGCTTAGGAGAAATGCAAATGATTCGTCCCCAGCACCAACACAAAACAAAGACGGAGCATCCTTTTGTTACAGGAACCCTGAGTATGAGGGTTGGCGGCCGGGGCTTGATTCTAACTAGATGAGTTTATCCCTCAACCCCCAGACTTCCAAAGGTTATTATGACGAGCGTGATGGGTGTGAGGCCAAAGTGCATTAGCTGGAGATTGAATGGGGAGAAGAAAGAAAAGTGTTGCTGGTTAATCAGAGCCAGGAGTGTGGGCTAACTGCAGTGATCACGCTGAGAACGGGGAAAGGAAAGCAAGCTGGTCCTCAGCAATCAGAGGAGTTAGCATCTAAAGAAGAAGTTAGTCACAAATGTTTATTGCGTTTCATTACTGCTTTCAGTGCTGGGATCAAACCCAGGGCCTCACAGACAGGCGCAAACACATCCCCACTGAGCCTCTTCCCCAGCCTAGCCTCCTTTAGACTTCTAAAGAACCACCAAAGAATACAAACCGAGCATCATTTTCTTACTGGGAACCCTGAATGTGAGGACGGTGCTGACTGTGAGAGATCTGTGCTAGGATGGTGGTGCTACCCAAAGTCTGGATTAGTAAAACACTGCGAGTATTTACAGTAACCTCTCAAGCAAGCGATAACGGCTTCCTTGAACAATGCACAGACAGTAAAATGCTATAGGGCTATTAAAATGCAGTTAGGTTCAGGTTTTTCTATTTTATTATGAAATGACCTCTGAGAGATTTTAAGATTTTCTTAAACTTTTTAAGAAAAAGGTAAGAGCACAGTAGTTACAGGGTGGACAGTTCCAATGTCTTATGGAGGTAGAAGGGCGGCATAACAGCTTCCAGGGTAAGAGGAAGACAGTCCATTCACCACCTGACATTTTGGACCTTTTAAGTCTTTACAAGACCTACCACGATAGGGCCAGCTGTAGTGACACACACCTTGAATCGCAGCACTTTGGAAGCAGAAGTAGGCGGATTTCTGAGTTTGAGGCCAGCCACCTGGTGTACAGAGCAAGGCCAGGACAGTGAAGGCTACACAGAGAAACCCTGTCTTGTAAAACCAAAAAAAAAAAAGGGGGGGGGGTGTAGAAAAGGCAGACCACTATAACCTACCTTTCTATGTCTAGTGTCATTATGACCTTGCCAGTGAGGGTTTCCCATGAAGAAAACCCAATTTTATGTACAGGTGTGCATTCGATTAAAATAAGTGCATGTAACTGTTGGCATTGTGTCCTCCTGTTAAAGTTCAAGATGGCGTCTCACAGTGTCTTTCTTTATTCAGCCATTCCATACGTATTGTATTGTATATGTGCTCTTTCTTAAAGTCAGTTTTAACTTGAGCCTGAGAATCTCTCTGGGACCATAGGCTTTTGGGTAGGAAGGAGCTTTGAAAACTAGCTTCCTCACATTTGATCAGACGATTGACCTCCAAATGGACAAGCTGAGGGTTAGGCGCTCCTCAGCAACAGAGCTGCCAGGGGAAGCTGAGGCTGCACATGCTGCCCCAGCCCTCCTCACAGCCCAGAAGGACTCAAGGCAGCCTCACCTTGAATTGTCCTTGTCCTTCCACCAACAGCCAGCCAGTTTAGCTCTGAGAGGGTTCCTGTCCCCAAATAGCTAACTTTGAGAAACAGTTAATGCTGCAGAATGAGAGAGAGCCTTGACCCAAGTGTAGCGGTATATGCCTGTAATGGCGGTATATGCCTGTAATGGCGGTACTCCTGGGGTGGAGGCAGGAGGATTAGGAATTCAGGGTCATCCTAAAATAAGTAGCAAGTTCAAGGGCTACGTCAGATCCTGTCTCAAAAATCTAAATAAAGATGTCACGGTCCAGATTTTGCTTGGACATTCTCACTTACATGGTAATATGTTAAGGAAATATATACTAAAGGAAATAGCTGAGGGTAAGTTTGCCTCCCGAAATGGGAAAGGGACATATATAAGGGGGGAAAAGTCTTCCATCACTGAGCAATGGTTGTTGGTTCTTTATGTGTACTTACATGTATGTGCGTGTATGTTTGGAGTTGCACTTTGTACATGTAGGTCTACATGCACTTTTATGCACATGGCTGTGGAAGCGGAGGTGTATGTCAGGTGAGGTTTCTCAGAAGCCATCCATGTGTTTTTGAGACAGGGCTCTCATTATGAATTGCCAATTGAGCTGGTCAGCGACTGTAGGGTTCTGCCTGGCTCTGCCTACCCAGGTTAGGTGCTGGGAAGGGGCTGCGATTCTTGTGCTTGCCTTGGCAAGTGTTTTTACATGCCGAGCCATGTCACCAGCCCAGGGTACCACTTTTTAAAAAAGAGGTTATAGAAATGATGCTGTTGATCGGGAGCTTCAGAGCATGGAGTCTGTGCTTCATCCTGCACCAAACCAGAGTGCCAGGAAGGCAAAGGCCAGGCTGGATCCACACAAGCCCACCGAGCCTGTTCGTTGGGTGTGGCCTGCTTACCAGCACTAACTGTTCAAGCTCTAAGCCTGTGTTGATCTCCCTGCTTCTCCCCCCATCCCCCCAAGCTGCCCGAGAAATCGTCTGGCTGGAAAGAGAAGAGCGAGCCCGGCAGCACTATGAAAGGCACCTGGAAGCGCGGAAGAAGAAACTGGAGGACCAGCGGCTGAAGGAAGAGCGGAGGAGGGCTGCGGTGGAGGAGAAGCGAAGACAGAGGCTGGAGGAGGACAAGGTGAGGCAACCCCCCTCCGCGGAGGAAGGTTCAGCCAGATACGCTGTGGCCACGCAGTCAGCAGATGGCCACGCAGTCAGTGCTGCCGCTGCTGGAGAACACGGCGCGGGGGAGGTAGGAGACCTGTAGGAGACCTGTAGGCAGCTGTTAGAGCTGCCGCTGGAGCTTTGAGTGCTCATGGCTCTCGTGGAAACCGGATACTCATTGCTGCTTTATTCAGCTGTACTGAACTGCTAAAGCCACCAAGCAGGCTTCCACAGGGTCCTGCCATATATAAACATTTGCAGGTAGGTAAATATTTCCACATACGCACTTCATTCATACTCACTCAACCCTTAAATAAGTGTTACATAAGTTTTTAGAAAGGGGAGAAGTTATAATCAAAATAGTCAGGGTACACAGCAGGGGAAGCCATGAGCGTCCTCACCAAATAGGGTGGACTGTGCTCACAATCCCAACGCTCAGAGAACGTAGGATTGCCACAAGTTCAAGGCCAGCCTGGGCTATGTATGAAGACCAAGCCTCAAAGAAGTTTTTCTCTCTTGGATCCCCCTCCCATTCTTAAGAGTTCTTTCTCACTTTTCCTTAATATGTTCACCCTGCTTGTGGGTGGGGGAGAAAAAAATTATTGTGTCCCCACTTTCTGAATTCTGTTTTTAAAATATGGCTCCACATGAGGCTGGGATATAGGAACAGACCAAAGCACTTGCTAGCATGCATAAGGTCATGGCCCCTTGTATCTCTGTATCACACTCAAGCACACTCTCGCACACACACACCATGAAGTAGAGCATAATGGTATGCACCTATAGTTCCTGCACTCAGGAAGCTGAGGCAGGAGGATCACAAGTTTGAGGCTAGCAAAACACTACGTAACACGTATAAAAGTAAATAAAAACATGTTGAGTATCAGTTTAAGTGGCGACTGTACTCCATGGCCATTTCTGCATATTGGTGAAGGCATCACACCCAGTGTGGAAGTATTTGTTTGAGTATCTGTTATACGCAGGGGCTTTTGAATGGGGAACTAATGATTGCAGAGAGTATCGAAGATCATTACTGCTGTTCCCACGCTAAGATAAAATAGCTATAACAGCAATATAGTAGGTCAAGAGTGTGGGTAGTCTACCCTGCGTTAGGTGGCAGAGCCTGCCAGCAGCTAAACCTGACTGCTGGCTCTTCTGTCCCATGCAAGGAGCGCCATGAAGCTGTCGTTCGGAGGACGATGGAAAGAAGCCAGAAGCCAAAGCAGAGATATAACCGGTGGTCGTGGGGAGGTCCTCTCCACGGGAGCCCTAGAGTCCACAGTGCAGGTACGTACAGGCACAGCTTTCAGATCTCTTCTTCCAGCTTGGGTTTCTTTTTTTTTTTTTTTTCTTTTTGCTGGACAAAAAAAGAGTGTATTTGTTTGGCTTTTGTTTGTTTTTGTTTGTCCTTAACTCTCTGGTTGCAAAACAAAAATCGCTCTGAAATCATTAAACTGTAGTTAAATGATCCTTCCACCGTTCGAGGGTGGTGGAGGTGAGCCTGAGGTCCTCTCTGCCTCCATGTGAGCTCCTTTGTATTTGGTCACGATGTCGCCTAGAGAGGAAGCGATACAGCATCTCTGCAGCCTGCCAGCCCGGCCTGCATGGCTGTGGGATCCGTTCTCCTCTGGAAGGATCTCAGCGGTGCAGCGGGCTCAGAGTCTCTCCTGAGCATGTACACTGTGACCCTAATGTGCAGCATTGACATTCTGTAGGAACACTTTGTATCTCAGACAAGAAACAGCAGGAAAAGGGCGGCCTGCTTATCTCTCCTTCAGTGGACATAAACCTACACTGAAATTTGAACTTAGCAAAAGGCTTTATTTTTGTACTGTAAATTCAATGCACCTTTTACATCATATGTCAGTGTTTGTTTGTTTTCCATTTGTGTGAGTCTCATAATCTTTTTTTTTGTAATCATGTCTTACATTCTGTCCCCAGGCGGTTTTGTTGAGTCATCATTCACCTTCTCAGTTCAGCAGGTGTGGGCCACCACACCACGCTTTTGGGGGGTACTAGAAAACCGGGTTAAGACATCCCGGTAGTTGCTGACTGCCTGCTTTGTAGCTGGCCCCTCAGACACAGGACCAGCTCACGGATTGCTGAGCCATCACCAGCCTAGCCATCAAGCTGCTGTCTATTGCATAGACCCAGATCTGTGATGGGCACAGTGTTTCTTAAGTGTGATGTTATAACTCAGGTGACTTAAAGGTGTTGAAATAATTATACCGGCATGTTTGCCTTTTCTTTAAGCCATTTTTAATAAAGCCTGCTTAAGTGTCTTCTAGCTAAGAATTGCCTACAATCAAAGCGCATCCAGTAGCCATCACTACTTACTCAGAATCAACTTTTCTTTTATCTGAATAACTGAATTTTTGTTTGCATGTTTGCTGTGTTTGTTCATTACTGTTTCTTATAACCCTTTACTTTTTTTTTAACTTCAGCAAGTATAACCACATTTGTTTTCCTGTGACACTAAACCAATCGTAGAAGCATATTTTCCCCTCGTGGCTCTTTACCACCTGTGATGGAACACACACCAAATCTGTCCTCATGAAGATATGATGTGTTTATATGTTTCATCAGGAATAGTTTTCATGGCTGTTCAACGAAGAAAAATGTTTTTTGTTTGTTTGTCTTTATAATGACAGTGTGCCTTCTGATTTGAACTCTGAAGTCTTTAACAATACCCATTAGCTTTGATTGAATTCTGGTTTATATTTCTGTCACTTCTGCTGGACAAGTTTATGTCTACCTTTTGATATCTAAAGCCACACACAGCCCTAGTGCTAAGGATAAAACCCAGAGCCGTGAGCACAGTGGGTAAGCTCTCTACCACTGAACCCTTTTTAAAATTTATTTTCTAGTGTGAGGTAGAGCCTTAGAGCTGCAGATACAGCTCGGTTATAGTGCCCTTACCTAGTAATGGGTTCAATCCCCAGGAAGGATAAACAGAAAGCAGGAAGGAATCAGGGAAAGGAAACAGACAGACAGACTTGTACTAAGTAAATGGTATTTACCGGGCTCTATTGAATTGGGAGTCGGAGGCCAGGCCAGGCTGTGTTGACATCAAAACAAATTAAGAAAGAAAAGAAAGAAAAACCAAGGTGGGGGTCTTGCCGGAAGCTGGCCTCAGCCTTTCAGTTGTGACTTAGCTTCCTGGTAGCTAGCATATCTATAGGCAGGCACCAGCATAGTCCGCCTTCCTTGTCAGTCAGATCATTCTGTAATGAATGTCAGCGCCTCCAATAAAATGGCTGTACAAGCTGCAGCAGAGCTGGGTGTGCATTTTACCCAGGTTTTGCAGTTGCAGACTCTCTTCCCGGGCCTCTCCTTCTCCACAGTTGGCCTGTATTCGCTCAGTAGCCTTTCCCTGCCCTTGAGTCTGCTTGTACCATAAGAACATGCTTGAGTTTAAACTGGTGAACTAAACGTTTATATTATTTCATAAGGAAAAAAAGGGGTTTTTTTTTGTTTGTTTGTTTGTTTTTTTGCTTTTTTTTTTTTACCTTTAAGTTACTTTAATATGTCCACTTAGAAAACTGTGCTGTTGTGGAAGATCTAGAAATGATACCAACCTCCTCCAGCCCTGCTGCTTCCTCCCCCGATGCCTTAGGAAACTGCCATCCTGCATGCCAGCCGTCAATTAGCGTATCTCCATTTGTTTTAGATCCAGACAGGAGGTCAGTTTCCACCATGAACCTCTCGAGACATGCTGATCCTGTCATTAGCAAGCGGCTCTCATCCTCATCTGCAACTTTGCTAAATTCTCCAGACAGAGGTACAGTCAAAAGGAAAACAAAACCTGTTCTATTGCTCACGTAATGTTTTCTTCTCTGGGTATGTCGAGATGGCAATAGCGTCTGAAGTTGCTCTCCCTACATTTCTTAAATAGGAAGAAAAAAACTTGAGAGTAAAAAAGCGTAAGCATCTGAGCATCCCTTGCCTTGTGACGAGGCGACTGAATGGTGCATTTAGCGGTGCTAAGTGGTGCTTCCCTCAACAGTTTAGCCAATGAAATCACCCACTTATCCACCCGAGGGCAGACAGTCTTGTTCTGGACAGTTCCTTTCTTTCAATCGGCTGTACGTGGGGAGTTCTAGGTGCCGGCTTTCAAAAGAAAATGTTAAGTGATTCATGATGGCAGTTTTATTTTATCAATTTGCTTCTCATTTGGACAGATATTTCTTACCACATTTCTTGTATGTGTGGTTGGTTGCTTGGTATCCATTCATTTCCATCTTGAGGGATTGGCTTAATTTTAAAACTATCACCACCACAATTAACCTACACAGGTTAATGATCATGTCTTCCAGATAAAGTCTTCACTGAGTTTTGAGTTTATGCATCCTGTGGATTTACAGTACATGAATATTTAGTTATTCATAAAATGAAAGCTTTATTTTACGTCATAGAAGAAACAACCAAGCTTTTGAGAAAAGCTGCTTGTTTTAAGATGATTTTAAATAAAACTAAAGAATTATTGTGCAATACAAAAGCACACACTTCTTAAAAATAATAAATTATGATGAGTTTGAGTATGTTTTTAAGAAATTAGAAAGTGTCATGTCGCAATCATTAATAAGAATATAATGTATGCATGTTCTGTGTGTATGTCAGTTTACATATCTTGTATTTTATATTGTTGTGGTATCATTGTAATATATAATATTATGTAATTGTTGGTATTATTTTATACAATGGTAAATGTTTGAACAATTTCTCATTCTTGTCTACTTACCCAAACTGTTCCTTTTTAAAGCTAAAAGAGCATTGATATTAGAATGTAATCAAGTTTTAGGTTTTTTTATGTTAATTTATTGCTGATTAAATTTGCTTCATAAATATGCTTTATTGCAGACAAGGTGGAGTGCATTCAGGGGAGGGGTAGACTTCTGTTTCATGCTCATTCCCTTGGTAGTGTGGATATTATTCCTATGGCTGCCTGTGTGGTTCCCTTTCCTTTTAAAGTGGTTGCTTACCCAGCACTTTAATGTCATACTTTGGTGAACCTAGATCTGAGACAAACCACGGGGAAGGATTTATAAAACTCTTAGTTACACCTTGCTTTCCTGCCTCCTACAGTCCCAGGTAAAGATGAGAACAAGGAGAGTGGCCATAAACAGGCTGATGGCCTGGCCTGACTCTGAGGGTTGAAAGTGCTGAATTCTCTGTCAGTTAGAAATAAAATTATATTTAAAAACTTACAATGTATCTGGTTGGATTTTCTCAGGGTCATGTGGTTTGGAGACTAAGATCTGTTGGGTATGCCATGTATTCCATTTGAGGTGATTTAGTTCCTCAGAGGTTGAGAATCTAAGTTTTAGTGTCCCGCGGGTTAATGATTATAAAGAGGGACTGGAAGTGAGATAGCAGCCTCTGCCAATGCAGCTGCTCCACTGCACTGCAGCTCTCACCTCCATGCAGCTGCTCTGTTCCACCTGCAGTTCTAACCTTTGTGGCCTCCACAGGTGCTTTCTTTGTTCTTGTTCTGTTTTTGAGACAGGATCTCACTGTGTAACCCTGACTGGTCTGGAATTCAGTATGTAGACTAGGCTGGCCTTGAACTTGCTTCAGTCCTTCTGCCTATCAGTGCTGAGACTGTGCTGTCACAGTGAGCTATACATTTATTGGATATTCACCCAATGAACTGGAATTAGGATGCCAAGACCAGTAAAATCTCAATAACTAATCTGTAGCCAGAGCCAGAAAAAAAAAAAAAAAATGCCCCTTGAATGAAGACACAGGACTGAGGACTTGAAGTCTGTGCCATCACAGACTTCAGCTGAACTGGTAGCATAAGGGAGTGCTCTGACGTCAGTTCTACTTTCCTGCTTCCTATCGAAGGAGCTGCAAGCAAGTTCCTGCTCTAACACCATATCTGCCTGGAAGGAGCTCTGGTGCTGGCTTTGTTTGCTTGTTTTGGTTCAGCAAAGTGTTCAGTAAGAGTACTTTTCTACCAGTTAATTTTGAACATTAGTTACGCCTTATTGTCTCACTAGAAAGTGTTCTTATCAAAATAAACTAGACACTTTTACGGACAGATGTCAGAAAGCCTATGCAGTGTTGTTAAAGTGTTTAAGCTTTTTCTAGCCTGTGGCAGTAGCCTTAAAGCTGATACTAACTGAAGCTCTAAAAATCATCAGGGCTGGAATGCATCCGAACAGCTCTACTGGTTACTAAACGGACTGAAATATTGTCAGGTTACTTAGTAAATAGCCACTGCCCCCAATGCGCTTCCTTCCCCACACACTGCAAATGCAGCGGAAGCCGCCACAACTACCTCTGTGGCCTACCTTCTTGAAAACATTTGTGAGTCAAAAATTAGAAGGCTCTGTGAGTTAAGTGCCATGCAAGCATAAAGAACCTGGGTTAAATCCTTCAGACCTACTTAAAAAGATCCAGCATGGACAGGCATGGTGGTGCATGTCTTTAATCTCAGCACTTGGGGTGCAGAGGCAGATGGATCACTGTGAGTTCAAGTCCAGCCTGGTCTTCAGAGTGAGTTCTAAGACAGCCAGAGCTACATGGTCTTATAAGCAAAGGAACAAACAAAGTAAAATTATAAACAAAATGCCCAGCAACATTTACCTGTAATCTCAGCACTGGAAAGTCAAGAGACAAGATCATCTTTAGAGCTAGCTGAACCTGTGACTTAATCAATGAGTTTCATATTCAGACAAGAGACCACGTCTCAAAAATGGGGGAGAGGGGAGAAAGATGCTCAGCAGTTCAGAGCACTTATTGCTCTTCAGAGCAGATGAGTTCAGTTCCCAGCACCCGTGTCAAGTGGCTTAAAATTGCCTGTAGCTCCAGCTCCAGGGGTTCTGACACCCTCTTCTGGCCTCTATGGACACACACACAACATTCACTCACATACATACACACAAGTGAAAAATAATAAAAATAAATCATGTTTAAAAATAAGATGGACAAGAGTTGATGAAGATACTTGACATCGACCTGTGTAAGCATGTACTTACACCCACATATATGTGTGTGTGTGTGTGTGTTGAATTTAGTGTCAAGTGGGCTGAGAATATTACCCGATTTAAAGGAAGCTAGTGGTTTCTCATTGATTGTTCCTGTAGGTGCCACAACGGATACATTGTTGCCATTTGAAATTTACATTAAAGGTGCATATCCTCATCTTTAACACCACCCTGTTAACTAGATTTTTCTCAAAAAGGAACAACAGGGGGCTTTAAAAGAAGGAGCATGAAATTGTTTGCTCTTAGTTTACTCTTAAAATTAGTTTAGACAAGTCAGGTGTGGTGGCAAAGGCCCAATACCAATACCATCACGTAGGAGGCTTCCTGACCTGCATAGTGGACCTTATCTCTAAAATAAGTGAGTGAATAGAAATGAGTCAATACGTGCTCACCTTGACTCAGTATGGTAGGATACAGTGATGGATCTCAGCTGAGTTCTGCCCACAATCGCTCTTTTTAACCTAAACCACGCCTTTCCATGCTTGCTATAATTTAATTGATGGCAATGGCTATGGGAGGTTTCAGGTAGCACTTAGGTATCCTTCCAATGCCAGCAGTCAGGATCTGGCAACATCTAAGTTCTGCTTGGCACCCATGACCCAAACCCAGCAGTGACTTTGTGCTCATAGGTGATGCGTGGTAACCTGATGTGCACAGCATTGACTTAGCCCAGATCGTTTAGTTCTGAAACCACGATGGCTAGCCACGGGCTGGAATGGATCCTTTGAGTCTGCCTCCTCTGATCTGAGTAGTCTGTGCTGGCGGTGGTCAGCATCACATCTCAGTGCAGAAATAGGACCCACACCAGCAAGCTCCTGTGTGCCGTCTCCTCCCTTAGCCTCTCAAAAGCTCCACACCAGGAACCTCCCCGACATTAAGTAGGAAGGAAAGGCTATTGTCTACAGACTTGGGCTAAAATCTACTGGTGATCAATTTGTCACTCTCCCTCCACTGTACACTGGTCAGAATGCGGTTGAAGTAGAAATATCCTTCATTCCCAATGTTGGGATTTGCCATAATACAAATTACCTCGGAGTTTATAATGATCTTCATATGCAGCAGCTTTATGGTTGATGCCCTGAAGACTCGCAGAAGTAGTTGAACAAATTGTTTTCAAGGCCGGCTGTGGTTCTGCACGCCTTTATTCCCAGTGCTTGGGAGGCAGAAGCAGGCAGGTGGTTTACAAAAGTCAGGACAGCCAGGGCTCTGTTCCACAGAGAAACCCTGGTTGGAAAAACAAGCAGAACAAAACAACAACAACGGGTTTATCTTACCTCTGAGGTTCTGAACCCAGTCACAGCACCATGAATCGACTATCTCAGAGAAGGAAGCCTATTTTTATTTTCCCTTTCTTGTTGGTTTGAACATACAGTCCTGTTGAAGATTTTTAATTTATCCTTACCACTTATCCCCACTGTTTTTATTCTATATGTTCCAATATAGGCTGTGCTACGTTGTTACTTTTCCTTTAGACAGCCATCCTGCCCCGCTCCTGTATGTCGCACCTACTCACGGTGCTCTCCACTCACTTTCACTGCTGCCTTAGTGTTTTTACAAAGTCTTAATACTGGAAAATACTCAACTGTGGAAGCCAAGTACAGTGGTCCAGGCCTGTAGTCTGTGATCCCAGCACGTGGGTGACAGAGGCCACTTGTGAGTTTGTGGCCACCTTTAGTGTACAACCTTGTCACACAAAAACACTAAATAATAATAGTTTGACTCTAGAGATGTCGCTAATAAACAGAAAAATCTAGTGGAAATTGTACTAATTTTTACGTTAACTAAAGCTTTGATCAGAATAGACACTTTTAAAGTCAAGTCATGCCATTAAAGGAAGTCTGGTTCTCCCTGCCGAGAGGCAGTTATTTTCAGCGTAACAGCGTTTAGCAGTATGTGGTTTTTATAAGCCAGAATTCCTAGAGTCTGAAGTGTTGTTCCTCTAAGAAATGACATGTATAGGACTAGCATGAGAATTACACCTGAGGACGGCAGAGCAGAGGTGGCTTGGTCATGGCTACATAGTTTTAAACGACTTTCATGAATGGCATGGGAGCGCATTCTAAGAATGGTATGTGATCTTTTCATTGCAGTGGCATCTGTGGGAACTTGCAAGCTTCCTTACTCGTATCTCTCAAACATACCTTCTATGTCTGCTGAGCCATCACTAGACGCTAACAGTCTAAACAAATTCCTAATTGGCATGCACTTCCTAACCACAGCCTTGCCAAACCCCAGTAGTTTGGGACACATACAGCATTGTGTGGTTTTAAGTTTGTTTTCGAAGTTCGTCAGACGTCACTGATTATCTTCAGGTTTCAAGTTGTATTGGACTTTGGCGTTTCTGCTTAATTTTTTTTTCTTCCTTCAGCTTTAGCCTTGACCCTCGGCTGAAAGTTTTATATTGTGCCAAACAGGGACCTGAAAGAGCCTGGCTTGCTGAGCATAAAGGTCAAAAGAACCCCATAGAGACCTTTGCATGAGTCTTCTTTGACGTTATTAAAGCTCACCTCCTCCAATCACCATAAACCATTTGTGGAGATCCATCAGTGTTTAACAGAGCCCTGGAAGTCCTTTATGTAAATCTAGTGTTCGTTTGCCAGACCTAATGAGGCTGATTATTTAAGATGTACAGGAAGCCCTGTGTCAGAGATGCCATCAGAGGTGCCATCAGTCTTCTGCCCATTACATAGGTACACCCTTGAGTTACTGAAATGTCAGATCTTTCATTAAAATGGTGTTTTCCATTTCAAGACCTGGTGTTTGCTTAACAAGGGTGATGGGCAAAATTCATTCCAGCTGCCCCTTCAGAGTTTGCTGTAAGTGGAGAAGCTCAAGGAAAGGCATTTTCGTGGAATAGCTGCTCCCCTGAGTGGGGATCCTGTGCCCTGACTCGTGTCCACATGTCCTCAATGGAGAGCTGGGGCTGTTCCAGGTCTGTCCAGTCTGTGGAGGTGTTAGGTATGATGTTCTGCACACTTGCGGCCCAGGAAGGAATGGTCCTAACATCTTGCTTATGTGGTGACATTTAGCTCGCCGCCTGCAGCTCAGCCCCTGGGAGAGCAGCGTTGTTAGCAGACTCCTGACGCCCACACATTCGTTCCTGGCCAGAAGTAAAAGCACGGCCGCCTTGTCTGGAGACACAGGTAAAGTCTTCCAGGCGGAACTTTCTGGTGAGGTAAAGTCCTCCTTTTGAAGCCTGTCTGCTCTTCCCACGTTCATCTAACCCCGCCTGCATTCATCCTGGTTTGTGCTTCCCCCTGTTGGTGTTGGCTTTATGCTCTCGGCATTGTTCCCTCTCTACATCCACCATAGCGTCTTATCTGGACACCAGATGCCAGGCAGGCAGATGACGCCGCTCAGTGTGATCAGATGGCCTCCGTCTGTCTGTAAGATCACCAGGAAAAAAGTATCACTTAACTACTTTTCTTTCTGCCCCTGTATCTCAACAGATGACCAAGGGTAGTAGATACAATTTAATACCACTACGCAGGCCTGGAAATAGACCAACACACTCTGAATTTAGCATGTTGTCTCTTAATGCAGCAGCTTCCCCGTCCTGTGCCAGGCTTCTGTATGTGACTTGGATGTTGGAGCCTTTGAAGCTCTGGAGAGTTGAGAAGATGAATTGAAATCTATGTGTTGGTTACGTTCACTGAAAACATATAGAACATATCTAATCCTGGCTGTTACATTGAAACAGTTTACCATGCAAAATATGCCAGAATGAACCATGAAGTGAGTGAAAAGTGATTGTAACGTACCCAGTCGGTAAGACCCATTCATACAGGGTCCAAGTAATGTCTCTGTCCTGGTGTCAGGGTTTAGATTTCCCAACTTTCTCTGGGCACGGTTGGTGTGTCCGTGGAAGCAGCCTCACATCCCTCGTTTTTTGCACTTAGGACACTGCATGCCGGCTTTGAGAAGTTCCCTTTAAAAATGCTTTGTCTCTCCCTGCTCATCAGTCTGCTGCACAGATAAACCCCTGTGGCCAGTCTATGATGACTTTCACTATGGTATTGTGAGCTAGCAAGTGTAAATCACTTCTTACTGCCCTGTGTGAGTCAGTCAAGGCCACAGGTCTGGGCCTTCTCAACACCTTTTCTGGAGATAAGCTCCGAGGCAGTAAGTGCCCACAACAGGCCACTCGGAGGATCTTAAGGGTGGTTGCCTGTCCCTCTCGGCACTCACGCTTTGTTTGTGGGATTTTTCTGAAGGAAAAAGTGCAGCACCTCAAGGTAGTCACCGTTACGTGCCGTGAACGTCATACTTCCCTCCAGTGACGGATGAAAAGCAGTCCTTGGTGTGTTGGGTCTTCCCGGCTGCTTGTCCGTCCTGGTTTGGGGGCACCCTGTGGTGTGTGGCCTTCACGCCCTGAGTCCTGTGCTGTGTGTTGTCTTTCTCTGCTGGTGCTGTCAGCACACCGTTTCTTCATTTCTGCTCATTTCCACCCCCACCTGTCCCTACCTTCCTGCTGTGCTTAGTTTGGGGTGCTTTTTATCTGTAGACTGGCTCTTTATTCTATGACTTTTATATTCTATTTTCATTTAATTGCTACATTTCTGTAATTGATTTTAGTGAAAAACAGCTCATAGACTTGGATTTGGGTATCTACTGGTACATTCTCCGTTATTTTTATCTATTGCATGTATACAGCTTATATTTAGTGATTTAAAAGTCTTAATTTTATCAAGACTTCCACTTGGAGTTATGAATGTAACTGTATCTTCTAATTGTCTTTTCCAAGACATGTGCTGCCATCTTTATTTTTCCATGCACCGTCCTGATTATTTTCTTCCTGTTTGAGTTTTCTTTCTTCCTTCATCTTATTCCCAATTACTTTTGACAGAAGAGGCACCTATATCCACCGCCATGATTGAAATAGCTGTTAAGAAAGCCACTCTTGCCCCATAAGGTAATCAGAGACTGCAGGAGCCTCCCACACACACCCTGACCCTGAGCAAGCAGTCAGGCTCCTGCGTGTTGGAAGCCCCATTCTTCACTACTTTGGGTTGATTTTCTTCCATGTCTGTGGCCTCACAGAGCCTGCAGAGTAGTCGCGTAATTGCTAAAGGTCAGGAGTAAGCACGTCAGAGCATTTTAGATGAGCATGGTGGCCTCTGATGAGGTGTCAGCATTGTGCGATGCGAGCTCTAGCAGAGATGCATTGTCTTTGCTGAGCTCTCAGTTCCCACTGAGAGGGATTAGGTTCATGTGCTCTGGACTGTCAGGAGTAGTGGAATACTTCTGAAAAATCCTTGTTCATTCCCTTTAGGCAAACTGCACAGGACATGGAGTGGACTTTGGGGTGGAGGGGAAATGTGCATCACGCTTCCTGCTGCTTCAGAAGAATGAGATTATTCAGTTCGAAGGTTTCAGGTTATTAGTGGTGGGTGGTCAGAATTTAAAACCCTTAGGATTTTTTGTGTTTGTTTTAGCCAGAAAGTGTTTTTTGAACAGTTGAGGATCTTTAAAAAGAACACCACAGAGTTAAGGATATTCTTAAACCAGGCATGGTGGCACACACCTTTAATCCCAGTACTCAGGAGGCAGAGGCAGGTGGATCTCCTTAAGTTCGAAGCCAGCCTGGTCTACATAGCAAATTCCAGCATTGCCAGGGCCACACAGTGAGAAGAGAATATTTTCTACCTGTATTTACTGCTATTTCAATATTACAATGAAGAATCAACCAAAAGACATGATGAAATTAGACTGTATCCAGGATGGCCTCAGCAAATACTCAGGAAATTGTTCACTTTACAGGAAAGGAAAGTGAAATCATGTTTGTTTCCCTCACTTTTCAGTATCAGCCTTGACCTAGAGCCAGCCTATGCTCCAGGCTTTCTTGATCTTCCAGCAAGGTTAACAGTTCTGGCTGTGCCTGGGCCCTGAGCACCTCTTCTCCCAGTTATTAATCCATAGAAATGCCCAGTTCAAGACTTGGTTTCTACACTGCATTTGATTGACTGGGAGGAGTTTTGCATTAATGAGCCCTTTCCTTATCTGGGAAATGGAAGAGCCTATGATACATAAGAAAAAAGTTATTTTCTCTTGTGGTCACCGCAGGCAAAGACAAGAGGCCCTCTTCCCTCAAAGTGCAAAACTACCACCTACCATTAAAGGTCAGAAGAAAAGCTTTGTCCCATGTTCATTTTCTTATAAAAAGAACTAAGGAAACAGACATATTTCAGTTTACTGTAAAGAAAGGGTATTTTGTCTGGATATAGAAAAAGAATTTGGCTTGCGGTCCATTTACTGCCTTTACCATCCAGGGTTAGCCAGGGGACCCCTGGAGATGTGTGATTTACCTGTGTGCCCTAGAGATGGACTGCAGCTCTGAAGCTTGTAGCCTTCGTCCCCAGCACAGAAACCACAGAAAGATGCAGTCTGATGCAGCTTTCTGTCTGTAAATAACAAAACCATTCATTTATGATTTTAAAAATTAAGGTCGCCCTAAACCTAGTAATCTTGAGTTTTTATTAATACTGTTAAATTTACCTACATGATAGTTGCTTTAAAGGTTTGCCCCGTGGTTGGGTGCGATAGTGCACACTTGTAATCCCAGCAGTCCTCCAGATGCTGAGGCAGAGGGATGGCCACAGCTTCCTGATCAGCCCGGTCTACAGAATGAGTTCAAGACTAGCCTGGGTTACACAAATACATAGCGAGCCCCTGTCTCTTAAAGAACTACTACAGAAACTAGATTTGCATAAAGTAATTTTATAGCGTGGCTCAAGTATGTGGCATTATCCCAGTAACCATCTTTGCTTTATTTTTTTATGGAAAACAAGACTTTTTAATGGGATCTGAAATACTGGCACCTGTGCGATGTTAAATAAACTTCCTTAAACCCATTATTACATAGTGGCTTGATAAATGTCAACGATCCTTTAAAGGTGGATGCTCAAAAAGTGCCTTTTCAAAAACAAAACCACAAAAAGTTCTTTCTTTGTAAGAGAGTAGCTGCTACCCATGACTGCAGCGTGGGAATCCTGACACACTAATGTTCTTCTCACCGTTTTCAATAATTGCATCCTGTCCCCCCACGTTTTCTATGCCATGGCTTTGTGTGGTGGGGGCGCGGGGACAGACGTATGCATTGGCTTGCCTTCAGAGAAGTAAAGCTGGGCTCTTTTCTACCTATTATTAGCTATCCCTGTAGCAGATCCTAACGCTCAGTAAGACTTGGTCAGTCGACACCATAAATCTCAGTTGCTGGTTCCTGAACTTGGCTCTTGAGACAGTCATAGACCTTACTCAAGTGCTTGCACGCTTCCTCGTTCCACGTTTACTTCCACGTTACAGGTAATTAGGACCAGACTTCATATAAAAATGACATCACTGAGACAGGGTTAGCAGAACCATCGGCCTGCAGTCATGCGAGGCTGGTACCGTCCACAATGTCTGGAGTGTCTCTTACGTCTTTAGTCACAGCTGAAACAGACAAGTAGCATATATTCCAGGTCTCTCAGTTGGCCACCTCACAGACTCAAAGGTCTACGGAGAGTTGAGGAGCACGGGGCCGGGCACCTTGGGTAATAACATCTTCTCCCCACTTTTCTCTCTGTCTCTGCTCCTTCTGCACCTGCCTCTGGCTTTCTTCGCCTGCTCCTCTGGCACTCTTGTGTGTAAAACCAATCACCTGCACTCTAGTTATCCCCATTTGTCCTCGTTCAGCATCTTGCAGCCCCATCATCATGCCCTTCAAAGCTGCACACTCTAGAAACGCAGTGGAGCGACCAAAACTCTTTGTAACACCGCCTGAGGGCCCTGCACGGAGGAGGACCATTCACGGAGCAGCGGTGAGTAGCGACTGGAGAAGCCGGTATCTGGGAGTCAGTCTGCTTCTGTGCAGACTGGGCTCTGCCCAGTGTACTCTGGGCACAAGGTCAGGTGGCTGTGAGACACCCCATCTCACCCATCGTAAACCCAGCTGGCTATGCACTCCTGCCCCTCACTGCGTCTCCTCTTGAGGAGTTGGTTCTCCCCAAGCATTTGAGCTTGAGGATGGAACTGTTCTTTCCTTAAGCACAAATAAGTGGCAGGTCTATTTCTGCTGGGACCTTTATACAAATAAGTAGTTAGAATACTTTTTCAAAGTCAGACACCAAGTTGGCCTGCCTCCCTGGCCTTTTATCCCAACCATTTCCAGAAGCTGGCTCAACTCTGAAGGTAGCTCACTCGGAATCAGATATGGATGTCTGTGTATTCCTGTCAAAGCCCATATCTTAAAATGTGGTGAAGACAAGTGTTTGGAAACATTCTTTGTTCAGTAGGTACCTCTTATAAGGCCACTGAGCTGTGGACTTCAACCCTTTAAAATAAAGGGTAGCATGGGTACTTGTTACCGCTAAACTAACTGGGCACACTGACACTGTTCCTGCTGTAAATGCAGTGAGGTCATTTGCATGACTCTGGAAATCCTTCTTCATCTTTGTTTAAACTGTGAGCTTATTTGTTGTGGTTGGAAGATGCAGACATTGTTTTTGGCTTTGGACCCTGGACTTCAGTCACGGCTACTCCCCAGGCCTCCACATGTCATTGCTTACCTGGCAGGGTGATAATGTGACCTTGCTGCAGAGTCTGGAACCTTACACACACACACACAACTTGCTGGACAGAGCAACTTCAATGTTTTCAGCTGCTGGATCCTTTGAAAGGTTTTGCTTAGAGGCAGATTGGATGATTTTGCCTACAAGATGCCAGGTGGTGGTGGTGCACGCCTTAATCCCAGCACTTGGGAGACAGAGGCAGATGGATCTCTGAATTCAAAGCCAGCCTGTTCTACAAGTGAATTCCAGGACAGCCAGGGCTACAGGCACCATGATGTGAAACTTTTTTAGGTGCTAGCCCCCTTTTAAAGGGTTAAGAGTCACAATTACATTGTTAGTCCATTCTTGGTTCATGTTTGTGCCTTGGATAAAGGAAAGGTCCAGTTCCATTGTTTCTCATGTGAATGTACTTCCTCAGTGCTCTTTGCTGAAAACTGTTTTTCCCCTCATTGAGTAGTCCCAGGTTCTAGTTTCTAGACTATTCTGTTCTGTTGGTCTGCATGCCTGGCTCTATACGTGAGTACCATACTGTTTTAACTGTTACTGTCTTAAAATGTGTAAACACACACACATATAATACACATACATGGTTTCTCTATGTAGCCTTGGCTGTCCTGAACTCACTTTGTAGACCAGGCTGGCCTCGAGCTCACAGACATCTGCCTGCCTCTGCCTCCCAAGTGCTGGTATTACAGGCATGTGCCACCACGCCTAGCCTTAAAATAAATTTGAAAATGAGGAAATATGAGAGGTCCAGTTTGTTCTTTTTGAGATATTGTAAAGTCCCTTCATGGTGGTCATCAGCCAGTTGATTTTAGCAGCTTGTGTGCGATCTCAGCATTAAGGGTTCAGAGGAAAGATAATCAGCTTGCTAGCCATTAACTCACACCAGGATGAAAACCAGGAGTGCTTTTGTGTGTATGGTGCCTGGACAGGTAGCTGGATGTAAGAGCAACGGAAAGGTTGAAAAGAGAAGGGTAAACTCCCAGCATGGGCTCTCATGGCCCCTGGTGGTTAAGGAGAGAGAAAGACATCACCAGCCTGCTGTCACCTCAATGAAAACACAGTCAGGGGCATAGGGTTAAGGTGTGTGTGGTTCCTTCCAAGGCCCTGACTCAGGAAACCCAGACGATCAAAGTTAGACCCAGATTCCTCATGCAAAATGCCCTATCTGACTTTCCCACTCTGCTGTCCTTGATTTTATTTAAGCCACATGTGCACACCTTTAATCCCAACACATGGGAGGCAAAGGAAGGTGGATCTCTGTGAGTCCAAGGCCACCTTGGTCTACATAGTTGAGATTAGGACAGCCAGAGCTAAATAATAGAGAGACCCTCAACACACACACATCCAAGAAATGGGTGAGCAGCATGCTTACTGGCAATCATGATAGAGCTGAGTTCCAGAGCCCTCACAGTAGATGGAAAGAACCAACTCTGACTCTCACAAGGTGTCCTTTGACTCAACACAGATGCACACTCAAAAATAAACATATAAGCAAATAAATGTATGTTTAAAAACTTTCTTAAAGGAAGAAGAAAAGCCTTGCCTTGGTACATTAGCATCTCCCTTAGGAAGAAAGGCTCTTCTCCCCCACCCCCCACCCCCCACCCCCCATCCTAGCTCCAGTCTCCCAGAGGTATCTGGGCTTCACTCAGGAGGGACCCATCCAGAGACTGCAGCTGCTCCTTACGGCCCCACCTGCCTTTGAGAATTCACGATGGGGCAGAAGGTGGCCGTGCAATTGAAATGATGTAAAGCTGGCCCCCATGCTGTGGGATGGTCCTCTCTGCCCTCAGTTCCTCTGTGGTAGGAAGACCACAAAGACACGCAGCGTTTCCTCCAGTCGCAGCTCTTCCTGAGCTAGGGTCCTGCTCAGGAAGACGAAGAAGTGATAGAAGGAACACAGAGAGCAGGAGGGGAGCACTGTGACTGAGCCGGGGTGTGCTGGCAGCTCCTGGCAAGGTGGGCTCTGCCCTGTCCCTGCTGCCTTGTACTCGATTGCCCACAGATGTAACCAGCCAGCTTCCCTGTTGCCACCCATAACTGGTCACAGTCTCAGATCCTTCAGGTGTTTCTTTCTAGCCTTTGTTCTCTCCCTTGTCTCTGTCTCTGTCTCTGTCTCTAGATTCTTCAAACACTAGTCTAGGCTTCCTCTTCTTCTCTTCAGTTTCCCATCCCCTTTCCTCATACCCTTTGCCTCTCCCCTTTTTCATGTTGCCTTTAGAACCTCAGAACACATCTTTAGTCTTTTCTTTGAACCTTTGGCCAGATCTCCGGCTGAGTTCCTAGGCAGCCATCAAGGGAGGACTGATGTCTCAGCTATATGTTAGATCTCTTCCTAGGAAAGAGAAACTCAAACCCCCCCCCCTTCCTTGGGGAAACGGGGCCTTAGGTAAGGACTTGCCTACAATATCCACATAAAAAGTTGAGCATGTATCTGAAACAACAGACATGCGAACTGTTTTTAGATGACTAAGCAATAGTATTTTCCAGAGCAGAAGAAAACTGCCAAAGAATAAAAAAATATAATATGTGCTTAAAGATTTCTTTTAAATGGAGCTGGTAGTGTGGCTCAGTGGTATGAAGACTGAAGTTCAATCATTATGGAAAAAAGAAAAATCACAAAATTTAAAACAAAAGGAAATGAATTTTAGCATATGTGAGATACAAGGCTAATTCACTCTAGGTAATTTTAAACAGAAAGTATAGGTGCTTTTTAAAAGCCTAACTATGCCTTTTTTGTTGTTTATTTCTTTTCTCTTTTTTTGAGATTGTAATGTAATTACGTCATCTCCCCCTTTTCTTTATTCCCTTCAAATCCTTCCTTTTTGACAAACAAGCCAAACCATCCATCAGATCTACTTTATACATGTCATCTGTGTTAATTCAATTTTGTAGTGTTGAGTTGTTAGCTAACAGGGGCCTTTCCCTGCATGGAATGGAGAGATAGGACATAGTTTAGAAATTGTCTTAAATAAATTCTTTAAAACACTAGATGGTTTGTAGTCTGTTGTTGGATGTCATTGATATGATTATGTCACTCAGAAAATTTTAATTATTGAGTTTCTCTGAACCCAGAGCCATAAAAGAGAGCGAGAAAGAGAAGGCATTCCTTTCCATGTTTCCTCTGGTGTCCGAAGGACTCTGTCTCCATCAAATCCCAAAGCGAGATCATCAGCTCCAGCCCGTCTTTGGTGAGTGTGACAGAGAAGGCTGATGGGAGTGTCCGCGTTGGAGAATTAGCTCTTTCTCATTGCTTGCCTTTGACTTAAGGACCAACACGCTTCCTTTAAGCAAAAGGAAAAAGAAGCTTTGCACTGGGTCTCATTAGGGCCTCCTTTTCCACATTCAAACCCTGCTGCGTGGTTTTCCTCTAATGGGAGTTCTGGGTTCTGGAGAGTCGACCTGACACACCCATTGTCCTTGTTATTTGATGCCTAGGCTCCCATCCAAGTCCATGCCTCATTTGCCCGGCACACCACGACCAGCATCCAACTTGCCTCCTGGCTCAGCCAAAGCTGCTTCCACTCAGGCCCATCCGTCATCCCCTGGCAACATCCGCCCTATCAAGAAAGAAGTCAAAGTGGAGCCTGAGAAAAAAGACCCTGAGAAGAAAGTTGCCAGTGAGCCCTCAGTGAAGGGCAGAGCACCCCTAGTGAAGGTAGAAGAGGCCACAGTGGAAGAGGGGACACCCGTAGAGCCAACTGACCCTGGTAAGAATGGACCAGCTGGTTCCGGATGTGTGATGGTGTTCCCCTCTGTTTTCCCTGTTCATGTACTGTTTTATTCAACCTTTCTTTCCCTACTGGATATTTGAATTTCATATTCTTATTCCTCTCTTTTCCCCCTTCCCCTTCTCTCTTTTTGCTCTCTCCTCTCTCTTCCTCTCATCTGCCTACACCAGCAGTCTGTACTGTGAATTCACTGTGTGGCTAAGGATGACCTTGAACTTCTTATTCTTCTGTTTCCACCTCCCACATTGCTAGGATTTCGGATACTTGCCACCAGGACTGGGTATGTGAGGTCCTGGGCATTAGGCTTGGACACTGTGCATGCCAGGCAGGCTGTGCAGGCTGCGTCCCCAGCCGAATCTGTATTTATCAAAAGATTTTCAAAGGATTTCTAAAAATATTCTAAAGCTATCACCTCCAGAATTTTTCAGACTACAAGCCCCTGGCCTTACCTCAGATCCACTGTATCAGAATATGTGCTGACAGATCAGACCACTTCCATACTAGATTTGAGGACCACTGGTTGAGTGTAGTGTTCAACAGAGATCCGCCCAATGGTTGTCTTCAATGAAATAACTCAGTGTTGTTTAGAAATTTGGAACTAAGGAACCAAGAACTAGTTAAAATGTCAAGAGCATAAGATGCCAGTGTTGGCTTCATTCCGAAGGAGATGACAAGGACCCAAAATAGTAAAATGTTAATGAAAGGTCTGGGCCCGTGCTTCCTTCTGGTAATCCTAGCTGTGATGGAGGCTGAAGCACATGGGTCTCAGTTCAGGGCCTGTCTGAGATGAAGAGTGAGTTCAAATCTAAACTGAGCAGCTTAGTGAGACTAAATAACAGTATACAAGGGCTGGGTGTGTAGCTCAGGGATAGTGTGCTTGCCTAGCATGCATGAGGCTGTAGGTTCAATTCCAGAGGGAGGAGGAGGGGAGGTGAGAAAGGGCTCTGTGATTGAGTAGGGCCGTAGAACTGAAAAGGAAGGTTTGGGAATGGTGTCTCAGATGCTATTCCATCATGTACAGTCATAATGAGACCGACCAAATACCATTTTCAATCATCGTCCTAAATCTAAACGCTCTACATAGTTTAACTCTTGCCCCAAGCATTCTTGGGGTCAGGTGTGTGGGCAGCTAGAGTACCTGCCCCTGAACAAGGCTGTTGTTTCCTGCAACTCAGGTCTCAAGATGCCTCTGGGTGCATTTTTTGAGACAAAGTCTCACTATGTATCCCAGGCTGGAGATTAAAGGTGTGGGCTACCACACCTGGCTGAAAGAGCACTCTTAGCATCCTGTGGTGGTGCACACCTGTGATCTCAGTAGTCAGGTGCCTGAAGCAGGAAGATTACTAATTGGATGCCACTGCCATTAGCTCGAACTACACAAAAATCCTGTTTAAAAAAAGCGGGGGTGGGGGGGTTTCCAGGCCACAGAGGAAGACAATGCAGGCGGTCCTCAGTCCTGAGGAGACCTGATAGGCTAAGGTCAGAGGGAAGGGGAAGGGGACTTCCCCTATCGGTGGGCTTGTGGAGGGGTGTAGGAGTATATGAGGGAGGGTGGGATTGGGAAGAGACAAGGGAGTGGGCTACAGCTGGGATACAAAGTGAATAAACTGTAATTAATAAAAATTTTTAAAAAATAAAAAATAAAGAAGGTCATTTAAAGGAAAAAAGGGGGGGTGTATTTTGTATTTTAAAACAATTGAAATAAATAAACGGAGCCTCTTCATTGGGAGCCACCAGCCAAGCCCAAGTCCTGGGTGTGGCGTGGGTGCTAAGGATACTCATTAAAAGGCTTTCATCCTCTGGTACCAAAGTCACCAAAGCACAGAAGAGGTCCATGTAATAAAAGGCGAACGGAAAACCCCATCTTCATTTTCCTGGGATCAGAGCTTCCCACAGAACCTAACAGAGGCTCTCGGTACACATTTGGTAGATATTGTTAACTGATTTAACTGGTGACAGAGTTGAGCTTTGCTGGATGTCTCACTTACACACTCGTCTTTTGTAATCGGTTGCTTGGCTACAGATAGATGGACCGGTGAAACCGTGAGAACACAGAGTGATGCACGTTCCCTTTTCTGGGAGAAAATGAACCCCAGGCCCAGGGCATAGGGAATGCCAGTTTTTGTTCTGTTTCTTGGATTTTAGTTCCACTTGGTTTTCTCCTTGTACCTATTTGTACAGCTGTTCCAGCCCCAGCCCCCGTTCCAACCCGGGCCCCTGCTCCAGCTACGGACCCAGCCCCAGTCCCAGCACCATCATCCCCTGTGGCTGTTCCTAAGACCTCTGCAGGCACCACTGACCCAGAAGAGGCCACGAGGCTGCTGGCTGAGAAGAGGAGGCTTGCCAGAGAGCAGCGGGAGAAGGAGGAAAGGGAAAGGAGGGAGAAGGAAGAGCTGGAAAGGTAAAGTTGCTAGTGCCCTCAGACCTGCTCTGTAGCCAAGATGGCACTGACCTTCTGTTCCTCCTGCAGAGGTTGGAGTTGTGTGCCATGCTTGGTTTATTTGGTTTCTGAGCATTGAACCTAGGGTTTTGTCCTTGCCAGGCAAACACTCTTATCTGCTGAGCTACATCCCCAGAACTATTTTTAAAATCAAATTTCTTCTGAATAGCAACATACCCAGATGGACAAGAAAAGATTCGGGGGGGAGGGGGGGAGAATCATGTCTAACTCAAGTAATTGCGTACATTTTAAGTAGCCCTTCCTCTCTGAATGCTTGGAAGATGTGTGTGCACAGTTCAGGCAGGCACACACATGTGCCGTCCACAAGCGAGCACAGTGAAGCTGCGGTTGTCAGGTCTGCTTTCGCAGAACCACATCCTCAGACTAAACGCCTCTCTGTATCACTGTAAAGCCGCATAGCACCGATAGGCATATTCCTTCAGATGAGGCTCCTCTCAGCTGGATATGATCCTTAACTGCTCCCAAATTGCCTGCCACACATATGCCAGGGTAGCGGTTTTGGCAGAAGCATTTTGTTCAGGAAAGGCAAATCCATAACCAGAATAAGTATCGACTCCAGGAAGGACAAAGCATTGCCCTTTCCACGGAGGAAGTGGTCCAACGAGGTAAGGTTGCTGGCTGGTCACCCCAGGGAATGGTGCCATATCTGAGGCTAAGTGTTGGTATCTGCTCTTGGCACATCTGGCACACAGCAGCAACTGTATCCAGTCAGCTTTGGTGAGCAGAAGGCCATGTTTTCCAGCATCTGCTGAGCTACATCCCCAGAACTATTTTTAAAATCAAATTTCTTCTGAATAGCATCATACCCACATGGACAAGAAAAGATTCAAAGAGGGGAGGGAGTCCTATCTAACTCAAGTAATTGCATCCAGTCAGCTTTGGTGAGCAGATGTTATCCAGCATCAGCCCCCCTTATGCCGCCATGGCCCCTCTGTTCCCCTGCCCACTGTGCAGTGACAGGAATGGCTGGGGGAAAGGCTGACCCTCCGACCGTCCCCGAACAGGCCGTCCCACCTGCTTGATTACCGAACTCCTCCTCAGCTGATGTCACCTTTTCATAAGCACCGACTTGGGACTCAAGCATCCTCACATCCTTTGCTCACTTGCAGAGATCCATCCACATAATTCTTTCCCAGATACCATTCTCGCCAGTTTTCCAATCCTGCTCTTTCCCGGGTCCCTCCCCGTCCAGCCGGTCCATCAGCCGCAGCCCACGGATCGGTGAACAGTCGCACATCTGGTCATCCCTCCTTCCAAACAAAATGTACGGTCATGGGTACTACCCACTCTTGCCCGCTGTCTTAGTTAGGATTTCCAATGCTGTCAAGAGACACCATGACCAAGGCAGCTTTTACACAAGAAACATTTAATTGGGGCTGGCTTGTAGTTTCAGAGGTTTGGCCCATCATGGTGGGAAGCCTGGCGCCATGGTGCTGGAGGAGCCAAGAATTCTTCATTTTGGTCCAAAGGCTCTGTTAAGCACTTGGGTAGAGCTTGAGCATAGGAGACCTCAGAGCCCACCTACATAGTGACACATTTCCTCCAACAAGGACACACCTCCTCATAGAGCCACTCCCTGTAGGGCAAGCATTCAGACACAGGAGTCTACGGAGGCCAAACCTGTTCAAACCACCACACCCACTGTGAAGATTCCCCTTCACCGGTCTCTTTTCAGGGTTGTCCCAGAAAGGGGCTGTGACACGACAGCCATCTTGTCTGCTTCTGGGTGGCGCCTGCGTGACATGTAGAGCTCAGTAAACCAGGCTCTGGTCTGCTCTTCCTCAGTCAGCTGATCCTAGGCACACCCCACGAGGCAGCAGAGGGTGTGGTAACAGCAGTAGAAACCAGGGGCTTTAGGGAAGTTTTTCACATAACTTGCTAGCGCTGTCGGACCTCCTAGGGTCCCAGCACGTACACTACTCCCATCTGATAGTAGATCGCTGCTGTGCACGTCCTGCTTTACGACTTAGCAGGTCAGAGAGCACCCAGCTCCTGATGGACAGTTCAGGTCTCATGGTGACTTGGTGAACCATTGTCAAACAGTCAGTGTCCACTAAGGCCCAATAGCAGCCCAAGAGCTGTCTTTCAAAGGGAGACGAGTTGTGTGCAGATGATGGTTAAAGCCTTGCCACAGAATCCCAGAAGTCTCTTCTTTGACACATCTATGGGCCTGCCATATGGTATACAGGTCAGAGTAACACACCCAAGTGGGGAATGGGCTGTCTCCAGACTCCAGATAGGTCCACTCAACTTTGTGTTTCTTTCCTGTTCGAGGAGAGGCCAAGTACAATGACCTGCCCTTCACCTTAGCAGGAGTATCTCCTATGCTCCACTCCTGGTACCAACTTCTGTCTTACTCAGTACCATACTACTGTGAGACGCCATGACCACAGCAACTCTTACAAAGGAAAGCATTTAATCGGGGCTGGCTAACAGTTTTTGGAGCCTTAATCCATTTTCATCATGGCAGCCTGCAGGTAGACACGGTACTGGAGAAGCAGTTGAGAGTTCCAGCGGCATTTTTAAAAGTTTCCTGGGGGCTATAGGGATGGCTCAGAGGTTAAGAGCACTGGTTGCTGTTCCAGAGGTCCTGACTTCAATTCCCAGAAACCATATGAGCAATCACATGGTGGTTCACAACCATCTATAATGAGATCCGGTGTCGTCTTCTGGCCTGCATGCTTCCATGCAGGTGGAATAGTATAAACATTAAGATTGGGGGGGGGGGGTTTCCCTTGGGTCTAGAGAGATGCTGTATCAGGTAAGGGCACTCACTGATTGCTCTTCCAGAGGACCTGGGTTGGACGCCCAGCTTCCACGGGGAGGTCACAAACATGTTTCCGACAGAAACGAGGGGGCAAGCAAATGTTGTTCAGTACCCACGGTGGAATGTGACCACGGGGTTGGGGGGAGTCCTCCAGATCTCTGGACTACCACTGCCCTTGCGGCACCTGGCCTCTCATCAAGGAAGTGTCCTCATGCGCCTTCACTCTTGTCTCTTCACAGACAAAAGAGAGAGGAACTGGCTCGAAGGGTGGCTGAAGAGCGAAGCCGCCGGGAAGAAGAGGCCCGCAGGCTGGAAGCGGAGCTAGCACGAGAGAAAGAGGCGCTGGCGCTGCGCCTGGCTGAGGAGGAGCGGGAGCGGTCAGAGAGGGAAGAGGTGGACCGCCTGCAGAAGCAGGTGTGGGCCCCGGCGCAGGCGCAGATGAGCCGGGTGCAAAGCCTGTACTGGCAGGTGGCTCCTGGATCAGGGCTGCGCGGCAGGTGCAAGAAGAGGGGCGAGCCGGGGCGGAGTGGGGGACGTATCTCCAAAGAGTTGAGTGGGGTGGTGTACCCCATCATGGCCTCTGCCCGCCTTCCCGCTTCTGGCAGTGCGGGGGCCTGGGTTGCAGGCGAACAAGACTAGGGATGAGCAGCGGAAGCAACTTGTTTTCAGAAAGAAGAAGAAGCCCGCGCCAGGGAGGAAGCGGAGAGGGCCCGGCAGGAACGAGAGAAGCATTTCCAGAGAGAAGAGCAGGAGCGCCTGGAGAGGAAGAAGGTAAGGGGCCCAGGGTGGAGCCCAGCGTGGTTCTGCTTCCTTCCTGGCCCTGCAGTTGCCTGAAGCCTCGGTCAGGAACAAAGTGTTCCACCCTCAGTGTTAATTCCAAGAAAGCTGCCAGAGTTTCCGCCTTTCCCCAAAGCAGCTACTTCTACCACAGGAGCTAAAATGGCTCCAGTCTCTATTAATAAATCCAATTAGGACGAAGAACTGTGAATTGTATTTTCTCCACATCTTAATAATCTGCTTCTGATTTTATTGGAATGAGCCAGGCTGCTGTGCTTTCTGTATCTCACCCGCTATCTCATGTGTTCTTTTTGTTTGTTTGTTTTTTGTTTTTACAGCGACTTGAAGAGATTATGAGAAGAACCAGGAGAACAGACACAGCGGATAAGGTGCTGGCACGGCCTTTCCTAGCTTCTCTTTCATTCTGTGAGGCAGGGCCCCTTGTCCCTCAGGCTGGCGTCATTAAACGTGACCTTGAACATCCTACACCCCCTGCCTGCTTTCTTCCCAAGGGCCCTGCTCACTCTAACTGTTCTTGATTTGGCTTTTTTTTTTCTTTCAAGCCCATCCCCCTCCCCTGGGACATCAAACCCAGGTCCTCAAAGCACTCTTGTCACTAGAACTTCAGTTTTAAACTTTTGCATTCTAGAAAACCACCGAACAAAGAAATGGTGACATAGCCAAAGGAGTTCTTCCTGGAGAAACAGGTATTTGTAGCGGTGAATTCAAGGCGTTTGAAATGTTGCTGTGGAGACAAGAGTGGGTGGGAGGGACACTTGTTTCCCCCTCTAAAGGCTTCAAAAAGAAGAATGTTTAAAGATGTGTGTGTGTGTGTGTGTGTGTGTGTGTGTGTGTGTCAGAGAGAGACAGAGAGAGAGAGGGTGTGTGTATCTGTCTGATTCTGTAGTGTGATCTGGATCTGAATTCACTATGACGACAATCTTGAACTCCCTGTCCTTCCTCAGCGTCCCTCACGCTAGGATTGAGTGCCTACTCTACTGCCCCCAGCTTCAGCTTAACACACAATCATAACTTGTATTTAGGATAAGTCGTAGGGGAAAAAAAAAAAAAGATTTAAACATTATTTCTCTTAGTCCTGGCTCAAAAGAGAGGTAAATAAAACTTAAAGTGTGCTGGTTTCCTTGTAATTTGTTCATATAATGTAGTCTTTGTGCAAGTTATTGTTTCTTGGAGATTTTAGAACAAATTTAAGTCAGGTGCAGTGGTGCACGCCTGTAATCCCAGCACATCAGGGAGGCAGAGGCAGGTGGATCTCTGTGAATTTGAGGCCAGCCTGGTCTACAAAGCAAGTCCAGAACAGCCAAGGCTACACAGAGAAACCCTGTCTCAAAAAACACAAACAAACAAACAAAAACAGCAACAAATATGACTTAAATGAAAATAGCCTTCGTGTTTGGCTACCCATCTAGTGGGGCTTTGTTTCGCTTGTGTGTACGATTGGACAGTGGGGACCATGTGCTTAGCTGCTGAGCTCTAGCTGGCTGTGTGGGGAGCACTCGTGGTGAGGCAGATTGACCTTTCCTCAGGGCTGTGTGCTTTGCTCAGAAATGACTCTGCAGCCTTGTGCATGCCATTCAACTGAGCCTCCTCACCCACCCCCACCACATAATGGGATATTTCCAAGACCATTACTGCTGTTACGGGCCCTCAAGGTTTATAAGACCTTAAGGTAGCTCATCCTAGATTTGAGCCAGTTGTCAATAATGTCACCTTAAGTGGAACTCCCAACATTGAGGAGCAAATTAGGTGGTGAAGTTAGGGACAGCGCACTCTGGCTTCCGTTCGTGACATACACATATTTCTAAGTGTGACTGGAACTCAACCGAGTTTATAAAATGTGGCTTCCTCTTCTACAGTGATTTGCTCTGAATCCTTCGGTAAAAGTGTTCTGTGCCAGCCAATCAAGTCAACTAACTTAACGCCACTTCATCAGTTGATTTGGTTTCAATATATATGTCCAGAACTAACTAAGTACAAGCAAAGAATGCAGCATTTATTTCTGTTTCTCAGTCTGCTGAGCAGTAAGAATGTTAGTTCTCACAGTCGCCTGTCAGGCAGGAACCATGATCCAGGAAGGATTATGGTCTGACTTGCCCAATGTCTCACAGACAGTAAGCTGTACATTCAGGTCATAGATCCAAGTTCTGGTTCCTAGGGCTCAGGGTGCTGGTAGGATACTAGTAACTGCCTGTTCTCTGTGTTGTGTACAGAGGTGTCTGCGCTACCAGGTATGAGCTCTCCAGGAAATAGAGACTCTGCCGACAGCCCACGTGGAGTCGCTTTACAACAATCAAAAGTGGCCACAGAGAGGTGAGTTAAACAACCGACGCCTGTTTCACTGCTGGGTCTGCCCGGGTACAATACCAGAGTTTTAACAGGAAGTTGTTTGTTTTAATTTGTCTCCTTAATTTTGTGTGGCAAGCTTGGGCTACAGAGAGAGGTCAAAGAGGTTCACTTAGAGCAGAGATGGAGAGGAAGGGAAAGGGGAGCCACTTCATCCCGAACAAAGGTGCTTTGAATGACAGTGTTTGTGATGTGTGGGAAATCTTGGTACGGTAACCCCTGATCCTAAAGCTGAGGCTACAGATTGTTGCAAATTTGAGGTTGGTCAGGACTACATAGAAAGACTGCTTAAAAACAAAAACAAAAACAAAAAACAAACATATATGATGGGTGGTTCATGCCTGTAATTCCAACCCAGAGAAGAGACTAAAGCTGTCAGATCTAATTTCAGGCCAGCCTGGCTGCAGAATGAGACCCTGACTCAAAAGCAAGGAAGAACACACAAAAGAAGTAAAAACAAAGCAGCAGGGCACAGTGGCACACACTTGTAATCCTAGCTCTGGAAGAAGAATTGAAGCTAAGGTTATACAGAGAAACCCTGACTTGGGGCAGGGGATGCAGGAGGAGGGCTTGAAAGCCAGGCTTGGTGGTGCTCACCTTTAATCCCAAGAAGAGGCAGGTGGATCCCTGTACATTCACAGTCAGCAAGGTTTATGTAGTGAGTTCAAGGATAGCAGGGCTATGTAGAGACACCCTGTCTCAAAAACAAAAGGAAGGAAGGAAAAAAGAAAAGAAAGGGAGGTAAAAGGGAGTTGAAGGACTAATGAGGTCTGTTTCTGTTGATAATGATCTGTTATAACATTGTTGTATTTGATAAGTGTTATAATAAAAGGTTTTTTTAATCTAAGGTGCAGATTTGCCACAACTCCCATTCTTATTTGTTAATGATGATGTGGTCAGATGATGTGTGTCTTTACTTATTGGGGGACACCCAGGTGAGGCTAGGGGGTGGCTTTGTAATGTCAGCAGACTCAAGTTCTCAGGGTTTGTGTCCTCTGCCAGCAATGCCTCTGCCTGCTGAACCAGCACTATGGCCTTGAGTTTCTGTTTCATCTCAAAGTTGTAAAGTTATTTTAAAATAGTTGTTTGCTCTGAAAATGAGCTTAATTTTAACTCATTTTCGTTCTGACCTTTCACATCCCCCAGCTCTCCGATTTTGGAAAAACAGCCAAATGAAAATGGAATGTCTGTACAAAATGAAAATTTTGAAGAAATTATAAACTTACCTGTTGGATCAAAAGCACCCAGATTAGATATCACCAACAACGAGAGCCCAGAAATTCCTTTGAAACCAATTTTGGCCTTTAGTGATGAAGGGACGCTTGGATCCCTACCTCAGGTAGACGGTGTGCAAACACAACAGACTGCAGGTGAGCTGGTCGTCAGTGTCCTTCTGTGATGGTTGAACTCTGATAGCCAAGGTTTTGTTGTTCTTTGAGGGAATAAGTAAGCCACTGTGTAAAAAGATTGTGCCTGGATCATGGAAGTTGAAATTGAGTTGCTTTGGGCAACTTGTAGTCGCTTCTTGCCCTCCCAGTCTGTGCGCAGCAGCCAGCGAGCACCCACTAGATGCCAACCTCAGAGAGGCTTCCTGTTGCAACAGACTCCTCTATGAGTGATGCACCTCAGGAAACAGCCTGGGCTCGGTCCCTCCTCCTCAGGTCATCAATAGGTGAAGACTGTCTTGGGTTCTCTGGCCATTTTTCCTTCTTTTGGGTTTTGCAACCTCGGTTCATATATTACTACTGTCTTTTTAAAATACAGCACAGCGCAGTTAGGATAGCAGTAGTAAGAACAGTACTCCTAGCATCTCACTGAGCCGGAGGGTCTGCCAGCCCTTGTTCATGACTGCTGAGCCTGCCTGCGCCTCTCCTATACAGTCCTCAGGACAAGTTCACCTCAAGTCTTCATGCAGAAAGAACAATAGCTGTACGGGAGCCAAAAGAAAGAGCAAAATCAAATTTTACTAATTCAGTGGTCATTGCCAGCTCCACGACACGATCCCAGCTATGTCAGGATACGAGGGATAAACCTAGTCCTGTCCTCCCTCAGCAAGCCTGGGATTGTCTCCCTCCCTTCCCATCAGATACAGTCACCAGCATTTCTTTATACTGTTCTTACAAAGAGGTTTGGCCGAATTCCAGATACTGAAATGGAGGCAGTAGAGGCCTGTGGTCGAATTGCTTTGTCTGTGACCCCGTAACAACACTCCAACTACTGAAACTGGCCTCTATCGTGTTATCGGCTTCAGTGAAATTTGTCTTCTAGGCTGGGAAAGGGATTGGCCTGGCCATGTGATGGCTCAGCCTCAGATACCAGCCTGCAGCGGTAGCTGCTTCCCAGATCTGCCAGGAGGAAAAACTTCTGCCTGGTTTTCTGCTTCAGTTTCATGTTTTAACTCATCCTTTACCTTCCACTGCCTTTGTCTAGGAAGTATTCCAGTTTGCCATCTTGAGTAGTGTTCCTTTGGGTGGCCACTTATTAATAAACATTCCTTCATCCTCCATTTAAGTATGAAGCCCTAAGCATTGAATCCTGAGGATACAAGACAAATGTAGTTTTCTTAGAGGTTTTGGATTTAAATTATCAAAGCATGGAGTTTCTAAGTCAGTGATATTCCCTTATCTGAATTGGAAGGGTATTTTGCCTAGTATGACTGGCCACAACTTCAATATGATTATGAGTCCAGAGACTCATGCATGCTAGGCATCCTAGCACCACGATTGTTTATTCTTATGTGTGATACTATAGCTAAGGGCATGGTGGGTTTTCTTAAGAAATATAAGATATTGCCATAGTGTTCTGTAAGATTTTTGATGAATCCATATTAATCTGTTCTCTTCTCTATCTCCCCATGTAGAAGTTATATGAGCATTTCCTCTGAAGAACCAAAGCAGGCATTTTCTACAACTAATGGAATTTCAGGCTCCAAAGGAGCAACTCCCTCCAGTTTTCTAAAGAGTTCTTGACCATCATTTTGAAAGACTTATTAAAGCCAGCTAAAGACAACAGGCTGGGTAGCTTTTCTAATCATTTTCGCCAATAGAAAGAAATGCTCCTCAATCTTGATGCCCTGAGATGACTTTTTCCAGAGTGCTCGCTCCTTCTTAGTAAATCAATATTTTTCTGCATTCTTTAAAAAAAAAAAAAGAAAAAGAACATTTGAAAGAGCATATAAAAAGAAATGGATGGACAAGGCATGATTTTTCACATGGATCTTTTCATTTTTAAACTTTAACATATATAAAATTGGCAAAATAAAATACCTTTTACAAGGTAATACTTGAAAATGAGTACCTCTTTGCTCTCCAAGTAGAGTGATTTGGGGGGAAGGGGTTGTGTAAACAAACCTGTCTATTTCAATGTTACTACAAAAGCTGTTTGTAGAGGCAGAAGGTGGCCCAGGTCACCAGCTCTGGTAAACACAGCCTGTCATGGGTATCCCGCAGAGCCACAGTCTCCCTGAGACCCCTTTTACAGAACTGTACTGACAAGTGTGAAAGCATCTTTTCAGAGCAAGGAAATAGTCTACCGTCCTCTTCAGTGGTGTGTTGATAATAAGCGTTTTCTCAGCTAGGTGAATTAGAGCAACGTGGCAGCGCCGCGGGTGCCGTGAGCACGCGGGGCTGGCTCTGACGTCTGTATGTTGCTGCTGTCCCCGGTGACGGTGGGACCTAATCTCTCTCTGCCTTACGTGATCACAAATGATGTAGGGGAAACAAATATTTCTTTAGATCAAAAAAGAATTTGGTTCTGCTCGTTTCAGAGCAATGAAAAAAAAGGATGGAATGTCCACTGTGCCGGGGGACAAAGGCCTTCGAGGATGTCCTCAGTCTGTGTAGCATCCACCGTCATTCGTCACTCTTGCTGCTGAGCCCAGCTGTACAAACCTGCACTTTCATTTGCTAATATGTATATTCAAATTTATTTTTCCCACTTAAAAGACAAGTAATGAGAAATGGAGAAGAAAATGCGAGGGAAACGGTTTTCTGTGGAGTGTTAATTGGATATAAATTCTTACCACTGATTTATCAGTTTTATACAAAGAGCAATTGGTTAATCTACAAGATTTAATGAGAGACTTTTCATCTATTGGATTATTTCTTTTAAATCCAAGCATATAATCTTTACCAACAGTTTGTAAATCGTTAAAACATTAATTTGTGGGGGTTCCCTATTGTTTGGTTGTCCATGTACATCTAGATATTGTATTAAAAAATTCTGTTCAACAAAGTTGTTTTATTTCCTTAAATCTACCAAACATGAAACACCAATAAAATGTTTGACATAGCTTTACCTTAGGGTTTTCATATGCTATAGCTTCATTCAGGTGAGTACAAACAGGCAAAGGACACACCCTGCCAGCATACAGGGTCTCCATCAGCCATGAGGCCAGTCACTGTGCCACAACCACGTCTGTGCACCACCATGGATCCCTGACTCTTCAAATTACCTTCCACTTAACTTCAGGGGCATCTCCCCAGCCTCTCATATACGGAATGGGCTTATATAAAATTCAAAGAAATCATCTTTTTTGTTGTGGCTAAGTTGTCTTTTTATGTCTTTGTATTTGAGCTGATACACTCATTAACACACTAAAACCTTTCTAAGTAATCAAGTTTCAGCTAAAGGTGATATAAACACTTCATTGCGTTTCGTTAAGAGCCACATGCCAGACAGTGAGTTTGAGCTCCGTAATGACTGTGTTTACTTCCTGACCTCAAGGGCACTGTACAGAAGCGAAGTGCCCAGGGATCAAATGTGACCCTCACCCTGGAATAGGTTTTGGGTGGCTTTTACGCCACCTCACACTGTGGAGGCCACTATGGTCATTCTACAGTCGAGGTTCACTTAAAAAGGAACCCCTGTCTGCTACAAGAAGGTAAACCTCTACGTCTCTCCTGCATTTCCTCACTACCTTAAACACCAAATCTCTCACAGGTCACACAGGAGCAAGCAGAGCCTCCTGGAGCCTGAGCAGCTCCCGTCATACATAAAGGTCCCACCAGCATCTTCACTGACAGACTCCGTGAATTTGCTTCCCTGGTTGAACCTTAAACCTGAGTGGAGGTTGGACGGGGGCTGTGAGGTTGTAAGTCACTGGCTTCCGAAAACTGCTAAATTCTGAAACTTCAAGCGCTTTGATTCATAAATTTTCTTGGCAGCTGCTTCCCTTTCAAGCTGCATTCACAGAGGAAAAATCCATAATACTCCTGTACTAACCACCAACTGACAATTTGAAGTTTCATATGCTATCTAAGGAACTCTCAGGGCAAGATAAAAGTTAACTTACGTGTGCATAAATATGCATTGCTGGGTTTTTATGGTTTCTTGTGCATGGGGGCCGGGGAGGGTGTGTTGTTGAGATGGGATATTTTGTAGCCCAAGACTCACCTCAAACTCATGCTCCTGCCTCAGCCTCCTGATCCTGAAATTATAGTGTGTTACCACACCCATCTCACAATCAAAGTTTATAATTGCAAGTTTTAAAAGTCATTTCTTTAAAATGGTCTTACTGATTAGCCCAGGCTGTCCGTGAACTCAAATCCTGCCTCAGCTTCTGAGGATGCTATTGTAGGCTCTGCCACCATAACCCAGATCAAATTATTGCATATTAAATTTGATAGTCAGCAATAAACTTACATACCTTAATGCAATGTTTTGAAAGTTTCAAAACAGTCGTACTCATCTGTTTGATGCTCAGGTCATATTTTCTGGCTTGATGACTCGTGATTGTACTCTATGAGAAAAGGTTTTGCTAGCCTCAGATTTGCCGTTCTCCTGTCTCTGCTCCCTTCCCTACCCCCTTTTTTTTTTCTTCAAGATAAGGCTTCTCTGTGTAAGCCTGCACATCCTGGAACTCCCTCTGTAGACCAGGCTGACACTGATCTCAGAGACCCACCTGCCTCTGCCTCCCCAGTGCTGGGATTAAACATGTGTGCCACCACTCACCCTGCCCCTTCTTTTGAACTGATGGAAATCAACTACTGTTAAATCTTTTCTGTGCTAAACATTAAAAGACATAATGAGCTGTAAATAACAGCCATTGGATCAAGCCAGCAAAAGCATGTTTTGGAAATTTAAGTTTCAGAAAGCATTCCCTTTTCCTCTCTTCTGCTTTTATTGTAAAAACTAAAGCACACTTAGAAATACTATAGGCTGGGCTTAGCAAGATGGCTCAGTCATTAAAGGTTAGGTTCACAACCAAAACATCAAGAAACATGCTAGGTTGTCATTTCTTTACACCTGGTTGGCACCTCACTGGTTTGGAGGAGATGCTGAAGACTTTGGGAAAAGTGGGAGAGGAGGAAACGTGACTAGAACGAATATGTCATGTTGACTGCAAGTAAATTGTCTTGTTATTTTCTTGACTGTGGTTTTTTATGTTTGACAGATTTGATCACAGTCTTAGCAGTGATAAGTCATTTAGCAATTAGTGACAAGATTAAGAAAGTTAAGGAGAAATTTAAATTGCTGTTTAGAAGTATACACTAAAAGAAGAAGCCAGAAAATCCTGTTTGAGTGACTGGCTCTTTGATGCTTTGCAGAACGGTAGGAGGAAAAAGGAGCAATAGCAAAACCACTAATAACTGAGCCTTACTTGGCTTGGATAGCAGGTCTGTTGCTAATTAGCCACAAACAGCTTGGTGAGTTGCTTGTGTTTCTCCTGGACTTTTCCCTCTAAATGGGAAACTAATGCTCACTCATCTCAGGGTTTATCTTAGTAACTAGGGTTGAATGATAAAGTCTTAAGCACATTAGTAAGTGTTCAACAAGTGATACAATGTTTTGAGGTGCATGAGAAGGATGGCCTTGGAAAGGCAGATTAGGAGGAAACCTACCTGGTGGGTGGCAATGTCACTGTTATCATTGTTTCTAACAGTATCCTTGAATGCCAGAAGCATTTTAATGAGACACTCATTGTGGTCAGAATACGAGGTGAGCTAAGCAGAAAGGAACCATTGTACTGTTGTGCTTTATCTTTACTCTTAACCCAGCCTCCCCCAAGAATTAGTTCCTTGATATTTCTGTGTATTTGGGTATTTATTGACACACTTGTGCTGTTGACGCCAGGGTTGCTACCTGCTTTTTCAGAAGTCAGCGTCAGCTATGGCCAGCAGAAGAGGCTGGAGAAGCAAGTGGAGTCAAGAGCGCTCAGTGAGGGGAGGACAGAGCTTTGCTTAGCAAGGGCTTTTCCTCCCAGTGTGGAGTTGCCTCTACCAGAAGACGCCAGAAGAGAGGGTTAGGAAGACAAGAGTGGGGTCCTCTCCTTGGATTGTGACATCAGAAAGAGTTCTTGCTTGTCCATTGCTAGTTATAAAGTCCTCCCCCTCAGAGTATCTGGAAGAATGTCTTGCCACTTCTCAGCTGAGCCTGCCCTTCAGTGATGTCACAAGTAACATGGCCAGGGCATTAACTATGCCCCACAGTCATGGATTGATTGATGGCCAGTTGGCAAAATTAAGGAAAACCGGTTTTTTGTTTGTTCATTTGTTTTTGTTTTGAGATATGGTTTCTCTGTGTGGCTTTGGTCCCGGGAGCCAGGAGTCTTGGGAGCTAAGTGCCTGCCCTAGTGACATGGCAACTATGAAGAGGCAGAGGTGGGCCATGAATTCTTACCCACCTTGGGCTGGTTCAGGCTGGTTGCCACTCTGCTAACTCAGTTGTCAAAAAGGCAAATTGCTCTGGCTGGCTGCTGTACCTCTGGCATGGGATTCTATACATTTCTCAGCTGCTTTTCTGGAAACTGATTCATTTGGTGTGGTGGTGAGGGTTCACTTGAAGTTGTATGTCTTAGCAATCATCCCAAGTGTTTTTTTTTTTAATTATTATTACCATTTATTCACGTTGTATCCTGGTTGTAGCCCCCTTCCTCATCCCCTCCCAGTCTCACCCTCCCTCCCTCTTCTCCTCCCATGCCCCTCCCTTAGTCCACTGATAGGGGAGGTCCTCCTCCCCTTCATCTGACCCTAACCTATCAAGTCTCATCAGGACTGGCTGCATTGTTTTCCTCTGTGGCCTGGTAAGGCCCCCCCCCCCCCCCCCCCGCCGCCTCAGAGGGAAGTGATCAAAGAGCCAGCCACTGA